TTCTGCATTTTTTTTCTTAAAATTTTTTAATAAAATTTTGTTTAGGGTAGTTTTGAGGGGTGGTGAATCCAGTGCCGTGCTTAGATTTTGTTTAAAAAAATCGCTAATATGAATTCTTAAAAATTTACTATTAAAAACTGACATAATAGGCCTTGTATTTTGTAAAAATATTGCGTATTTTGCTTCAAAAATACAGTTTATCAAGATCTACAGTTTAAAACAAATCCAGTTAAAATCGCACAATAAATAAAGTTTTTACAGGGGTGAGTCGCAAACAAATGGGTCACACTGTATGTAAAATTGATTAAAACTGTTCTACTTTTATAACTTTTTACGACATTTTCTGATTCAGCGAATAATATTTCATAGGAATTGACTGAGCACTAAATGTCCTGGATACAAATTGGTGTTGACGAGAATTATTAGTGGCTGCTTTTTCGCTATGACATATTTGACTAATTCATTTTTAGAGAGTAAGTAATATAGTGATTTCTTCGTCACAGTGATTTAAATACAATGCATGATAGAGAACATAAAAAGTAATGGCAACAAAATTAATAAATTCGGAAAATACTTTTTTCTACGACCACTATGTAAAAGTCACTTTTCATGATGGCATCGTTGCTTAGAAAATGAATCTTTTTATTGGCAAGGCAAAACACGAATGTAAAGTGACATTTCTGTGTGAAAAGTGACAGGTCTGTGTGAAAAGAAATTGACAGCATCGTTTGACATTCAGCTGTTAAAAAAGTTTTTAGGTTATTTTGTTTTGTATTTAAAAATAATAAAAAATAAAAGGGTCGCATAAAAAACATTGTGTTATACTTGTGAGAAAAGCTTTCTTCAAGCTCGTGTTTATGCACACTCGGCCTAACGGCCTCGTGGGCAACTTAAAAACTAGCATGAAAAAGTCGCTTTTCAACACTTGTAAAACAAATAACTATTAACATACCACCCGAAAAAATATTAGATATATAAGTCGTCCTGTTCCGGCCTAAACATTATAAATGCTTCACAAACTAGAGATACCACACTTAATGATATTTGCAACAAGCTATTTCAGAAGTCAGTCCAAGGAATTAGTAGTTACCTTCAAAATCCAGAAAAGGGATGAGGAATCCGAAAAAGAAATATATTAATTATATGATATTTACAAAAACGAAATAAAAAAAATTACCCAAAACAGCAATTTATCTTTAAAAAATATTTAACAATTTATGTTATTTGATGTTTATATAAAAATTGTATGTCCAATAACTATGGTCCATGTGTCCAATTACTATTCTTTTTTGCATGTTTTTATAAAACTATTATTAAAAATTCAAATATTCTTATTTTTAAGTAAACGCAAATAAAGTTTAAACAAACAAACTATCCGTTTTATATATTTATAAGAAAAAACCTAAAATCTATATAAATTTTAAATAAATAATATTCCTGTGTCCAATAACTATGTGGTTTACCCTATTTGGATTTTTTTTTAGTTGGCATTACTTGCAGTCTAGGGTATTTGTTTAACTTATATTGGCATGTCGTAAATAAACTAATTGGTAAATCTTTGGGTACCCAAAATCAAATGTCAAAAAAATACTAAACGCATTTTTTATTTATTTTGACATAATTATCTTAAAAACTACATCTTCGCCTGAACTAAATCTGTAATTTTTTGTTGGACATGATAGCAACAAAAAAATACCAATTTAATTCTGACGATGACTTTGGTTATTTTTTGTTAAAAAAAGTCAATCATACAAATGCTTCTAGAGCATGCTTAGTACCTACCTCCGGGGGTTAAAAATACTACAGACGTATCTAATACCTACATCCGGACTTAATGTATTTTTGTATGTATATGTATTTTTTATGTTTAACAGTGTATTTAATTGTCTACTGGAAGTGTTTCTTGAAATTTGTGACTTTTTTTCCTATACAAAACTATCTCTATAGAAGGCAATTTATTACTAATTTGTTAGCAAAGAAAAAAATTATTAAAAATAACAGGTTGGTGCTGGCTCTATAGAAATCATTTCTATAAAATAAAATTCGCAAATTTCAAGAGATAACCCCAATGTCAATTTTATTCGTCCATATTTACGTTACTTATAGTTTTAATATTATTAGTTTTGAGATATGCTGTCTAATTTACAATAAATGTATTATTTAGTAGTAAATATTATGTACAATATTAAAAATTAACAATAACAGCTTTGATCTTTACTCAGCAGGGTGTCTAAGAATTTTGTATATTTAATTAACTTATTTAATAAATAATCGAGATTATGGAAACGTTGCAATAATAGGTCAGACATTTTTTAGACACCCTGTATAATAGTAAAAAATGTGTATTTGTAAATGGGTTTCGATCATAGAGATTATATATGTCACGGCTAATGTGCAAACTTGGATAGTTTATAAACTAGCTGAATAGTTTATAAACTAACCAAACTGTCAGCTATTTTAATTGAAAATGTATTTTCAACTAAATTAGCGGCTAGTTTACAAAATAACCAAGGATCTTGGCTAATTTACTTGAAATTATTAGGGAAACTAAAATAGCTGGATAGTTTGTATACTATCCAATTCAATTTGGCTAATATGAAAACCAAAATTTCTAGTAATACAAAATAGCCAAGCTTTAGCTAGTTTGTAAACTAACCAACTAATTCTCTGGCTATTGCCCATTTTAGTTGGGTTTTTTGCTCAATGGGAGGGCAATGGGGCGGGGTCGGTTGGGTTGTGTTGTTGAGTTTGGGTTGGTTTGGGTTTTTTTCTCTCATTTTTGACCATTTGACCAATGGGGGGGCAATGGGGCGGGGTCGGTAGGGTTGTGTTGTTGAGTTTTCTAACAAGGAAGCGTTAAAATTTTGCCTATGATTCATTTAAAAAAGTTAAAATGCACAAAACAAATCCGGTTAAGCCGGCAAAACGAAAAACAATGACGTAACCTCACTTTTTTAATAAATTAGCCAGAGAATTGGTTGGTTAGTTTACAAACTAGCTAAAGCTTGGCTATTTTGTGTTACTAGAAATTTTGGTTTTCATATTAGCCAAACTGAATTGGATAGTATACAAACTATCCAGCTATTTTAGTTTTCCTAATAATTTCAAGTAAATTAGCCAAGATCCGTGGTTATTTTGTAAACTAGCCGCTAATTTAGTTGAAAATACATTTTCAATTAAAATAGCTGACAGTTTGGCTAGTTTATAAACTATCCAGCTAGTTTATAAACTATCCAAGTTTGCACATTAGCCATAACATACAATATACAAGGTGTCCCTAAACTTATTGGCATAAATTTAGGAAAAGATTGAGCAAGTCAAAAGAAGACGAAAACCTAAATAAATATTTTTCCTAATTACTTATGTTTTCAAGATACAGGGTGATAAAGTGTTACCTATCATATCAGTTTTTGTAATATAACTTCTACTATGGTAGTCTTGGAAACGTGATATTTTGCGAACAGTCACTTACTACCAAAACAAATATTCACACATAATTACAATTGTTTGAGTGAACACAGTGTCGTAGAAACGGGGGTTGCTTTAAGGTTATTGTCCCATACAAACTTTGAGGTTAGGTTTTTATAACATTTGATACAATTACACAGTTCGGCTACCATTAAAAAGGTGTACCTCTCAAACTTCGATAAAATAAACCGTTTCCGTGATATTCGAGATTACAATAATTGTTATATCGCATTAGGATTAAAAGGTATATGATAAGAAATTTTTTAATTGAAAAAACTAAAAAGGGCATTCCATGAGCCTCGAGACTTTTTGCCCTGACCGTCACATTAAAAAAATTGTAGTGTTTTCAATTAAAAAAATTGTTATTATATACCTTTTAGTCCTTTAATGCAATATAACAATTATTGTAATCTTGAATATCTCGGAAACGGTTTATTTTATCGAAATTTAAAAGGTACACCTTTTTAATAGTAGCCGAACTGAGTAATCGAAAAATTGCATCAATTGGTATAAAAACCTAACCCTAAAGTTTTTTTTTTATTGATTTCCCCCCTCTAATCATTTAATTTTTATTTTAAATATTTTTTCGTAAAATGCATATTTACTGAGATATTTCAAAGTTTCAAGTTAAATATTATATACAGTTTATAAATTTTCATCAAAATTTTATCAGACCATAGTTTATTTTAAATAAAGTTTGTGCCTTGTGGTCTTCTTGCGGCTAGTGAATTTATGATGACTGTTTAAAGGAGAAAATGGTGGTATATTATGAACAAAAATGTTTCCTAATGTAATATAGTTAATCTAAAAACCACATACCTATATTTATATTATGGTAAATTATTCAGTTATTTATACTTATTATCTTAATTATGAATAATTGTTTTTGTTAAGTTTAACCACATACTGTGACCGGAAAAGTATGATACAAATTTATTGAAAAATTCTATAGACCTGTCGATTTTTTTTTCAATTACGCACATTTTAATGTACAATTTTCATATTTTCGGCCATTTTTGTAGTAATCGGTCATTTTTTTTTAATCTTTTTTTTTGAAGATTCAAATAGATTATGAAATTTTGATTTCAGCAATATGCACATTTATACCTTTTGGGCTGATAGTTTTGGAAATATTAATTATTAAAAGTGGAAAATGTATAGTTTTTAATAATGTTTTAATGTTTTATACCTACCCCAGTAGCACAAAGATATTGGCCCAATATTCGTAATAATATTGGTAGTCCATAGCTTCTACAAAAATGGCTGCAAATATGAAAATTTTACATCAAAATGTGGAATTAAAAGTAAAATCGACTTTTTTAATGAATTTGTTCCATACTTCTGCGGGTTATTATATAAATTTTTTTTTGTGATAATATTTTTAAAATTTTAATAAATCTTAATGATTTAATATAATAACCTAAAACAATAATTTAAAATCACAAACAAACTAATAAAATAAAATTATGTAAGTGACCTCGATAAAAAAAAGATAAAAAAAATAACGCAAATTTTCTTCGAAAAAAACATAGGCTCGATTACCGGAGTACAGACCCGGAGTACCACCGGAGCAGTTATCTCCAGACCCGGAAAACTCTAAAACAAGAGAGGAATTAAGATGGGTACCGGCAATGACGATGGACAGTGACTTAATAATGTATTTAAGAGCCGCAAGAAGCATGGCCGCCTTCGCTGGTATGTGCGACGGCGGATGCCCGGAAGATGGCGCCAACGCTGCTTCAAGGGACGATACTACAATCAATGCTTTGGATGTGGTGAGTTAACTGCCTATAACTCCGGTGTTTATGGAGTTGTACTCATTAATTTTGCACAAAATGTAGCCCAATATATCCACTATAATGGCACCAAATTTTATTATTCTAGCTTAAATAGTTTTTGAAATATTTTAACTTTCTTCTTTTTTAAGTTGCCAAGTTTAAGAGTCTGTAACTCTGAAGTTTATAGAGTTAAATTATTCAATTTTGGTAAAAATGTTGACCATTATATTTACTATAATGTGTGCAAATTTCATCATTTTATCTTCAATAGTTTTTGAGTTATTTTTACTTTCTTCTTTTTTAATTTCTCGGGTATTTATAGACATTCCCCAATTGTGCATGAAATGTGGTTCAGTATAAACACTACATAAAGTGCCTCAAAATTAAAAAAAAATATATTTAATAGTTTCAGAGTTATAGTACTTTCTTCTTTTTTTTAGCTACATGATTCAGGGTACAAACCCAAGGAAAGCCTTACAAGCTCTAGTAAAATGTCCTGCTCCTAAGGGAATCGATAAAAAAATGGTCGGAGGAAGAAACCAAGAGATTTGTTAAAGGTTTAAGGCAATTTGGGAAGAATTTCTTCAGAATCAGAAAGGATCTTTTACCACATAGAGATACGGTGAGTTTTTATAGTTTGTGGAATTATTTGTTATGTAGATTTAAAAAAAAATATTTTTCCATCTTAAGCATTTTTGAAGAAACCGGTTATTTTTTGTCCGATTAAAAAAAATAAAACGTTGTTGAGAGATAATCTTCTTACTTAACCAGAACTAGAAAATATCATTTTTTTGCTCAGAAAACGTTTTTGGGCATCTTCAGTGCTTTTTTGAAGAAACCTACCGTAACTTTGTTATTTCTCAAGCGATTTTCAAAAATAAAACGTTATTTAAAAGGTTATCTCCTCTAGATTAAACATTTTATATAGAATTCTATTTTTTTAAGCCGGAATTGGTGGAATTCTACTATCTTTGGAAAAAAACACCGGGAGCGAATAACAACAGACCTCACAGAAGAAGAAGACAGGGCTCGTTGAGAAGAATACGTAACACTAGAAATAGCAGAGGAGGTAATTCAAACAATTCAGGTAAGATCTTAGAGGGTAGTATATAGGGTGACCCGAGAGATACATTTTGGAAATACGGCGAAATTTTTTGATATTGAAGCACAAAATTTTCAAAGCACAGGTAAAATTTGCGGGAAAATTTAGGGTGTAGATTGTTATTTGTTTTGTTTAGTTTCTCTTTTATTATTATTCATTACACACGAAGCATTTTTAGTTTAAATATTATGTAGTTCTTACCTACTAACACTTTTTATTTTTTGCATGATATTCAATTATTGGTTATTTGGACTTTACATTCCTAATTTCTCTTTTAAACATTGTGCATGTATTTACTTTATGTTTATTTCACACTATACACTTTTTTTCAGCCACATATTCACACAAACAACACAAAATCTTGTAAAAGAGAAAAACATTTCGGAACCACAAATTTGGGAGGAGAATATAAAAAATCGTATCTCTGGGTCACCATTTAAACAATGTTTAGGATTTCGCGAGATATTTTCGAAAAATTTAATAAATATTATTAAAAAAGTCCTAGACATTTTAGATTTTAGTGTTCTGTTTGGTTATATTTTGTTTAGTTTTGGAGTATTATTTAGTTTTTTATTAACATTACAAAATTTGATTATTTTATTTATTTAAATCAAAATTTTATTTATTTTTCTGAAACCTATGCAGATTTTTACAATAAAATAGTTTTATTTTTGGTGTGCCACAAGGCTTTTGCCTGAGCCCACTTATATTTATTTCATTCACTAACGACATCGTTTCAACTGAAGACAATGCTTTTATTGTAATTATTTGCACATTTAACACAATTTTCACTTATGTTTGTGAATCTAGGTAGGACAAGTGGAGGTGCGCCCCAACCAGAAGCCCCTTCCCCCCAACCTGGGGGGAAAGAGCCAGGGGAGACAAGTTCCGTTACCGAGGATGACAATTCCGAAGATGACAGTGACAGTAGAGAGGCACAGTACAGGTGTTCTCACTGCTTTACTACTAGTAAGTGATTTTTTTGTTTATAATGTTGGAAAAGTGTTTAAATTGGTGCCTTTTAGATTCTAAAGATTGGCAACCTGGAGGTAAGAATGGACAACTTTTGTGTTGGGACTGTAGATCGCATTACAAGAAGACAAATGAATTACCGCCTGTGGTTGCGCCCTCTGGAGGGACTAATGGAAATACCGCACCAGGTAAGAAAATATTTTTTTTCAATTCTTTGATTACAAATTTTAGTATGTTATTTCTAGATTATAAATTTATCGTAAATGTTATTTTTGTAGTTTTTAAAATTCTCTTAAAAGCATATTTTAGCTTCTAAAATTATCGTAAAAGCTTCTTGCCTTTAAAAACTTGATTTTTAGCTTTGTTTAGGGTTATTCTTTTACAGATGTCCATTTTAAAAGCTATTCTCACCCTATTCTAATTTAACTTTGAAGAACCTCTTAGATAATAAAAGTTTCTTTTTTTACCTCTAAAATTATTTGTAATATACATATTAAAAGGTTTATTTTTCATATTTATAATTTTCTAGTTTCTTATATTACATTAAAAGTTTATTCTGGTTTCTAAAGTCGTGTCAAAATCTTAAGATTTTTACAGCTTCCAAAATCACCTTAATTTTAAAAGCTTTTCATATATACAGGATGTCAATTTTAAAACGTACCACCCTTAATATCTCAGCTTAAATGCCAAATAAAAAATATGCTTTTTATTAGCAAGGGTCAAATCTTTTTCAATGGTTGGCGAATAATTTAGATCAACCCACAATAATGGTAAAATCCTTGTAAAGGTCTGGTTAAGTACTTTATAGTCCTATTATTTTTTTTGGCAACCCCCTATATATAACCAACATGTATAAAATAAAATTATTTTTTTATTTCCATTTTGAAAAAATCGCGAATAATTTTGAAATTCTTAATAAAATTGGTTGCGTTACTATGGAAACGTATTAATGTTGAATTGTCAAACTTGACGCATATAAATTTAATTGCTGGCGTTTTCAAAAGCAAAACAGTGTAAAATGATAAGTGATGATGAATTTTCCATTCCTGGGACTCCTCCAGAGCTGGTTGAGGCATTGGATACTGCTTCATTAGAATTATTGCCAAGGAAATCAAGAGAAAAGTACGAATATCATTTCCTAACAGTAAGGAAATGAATATTTCCTAACAGTTGGGAAATCTAGACTTTTTCTTTAAGAAATTTTGTCAGGAATGTCAAAATTTCCTACCGATTTGCGGAAAACATAGGTATTTGGCGTTATTTTTACCATTAACATTGCCCGTAATTATTTTAATTAAACTTAACAATTATTGATACTTAAAAATATTAAATATTAAAATAACTTTTTTCTACTCCCACCTTTAAAACGCCCTTTATCGTACATGTTTCCATGACACTAAGTGACCTTTTAAATACACATTGACAAGTTGTGGCTTTACGGCGCTTTAGTCACGGGTTGAAGTTAGCAACAGGTTTTTAGTCACGGGCTGAAGTTAGTTGACAGTTGTCAAATGTCATACAATCGTTAAAATAAAGTGCCTTTCTTGTAAAATAATACTAAATGTGAAAATTATTTTATTATCTCAATACAAAAATACAAAAGTATTAAATAGTTTCTCAACGCCAATATTTAAAAAGTTTATATGAACATTGTACTGACCTTTTAATTTCGCGGGCAGTAAACTATAACTTAAATTCGGGGACGGACTCCACTGTAAAGTGCTCATAAAACATTTTCTTTACTTTCACTGTGAAAAACTGTCAATATTCAAGAAAAACATTTCGATTTATAACCTTTATAATCTGTGTTTATAAAATAAAATATTATCACAAAGTATTTCTTTTCTCTCCTACTGTATCTCAATATTTTCGTAAATAAACTATTATTATTATTATTAAAAATTCTTACACAGGAAATGTTAAAGGGACAAAAAGTGACAGTTGTATTGATTGGAATTCACGTTAGAATTTCTAACTTGGGAATCTACCGGCGTTAAAATCTCAAATGTGTCTGTGTAAATCACAATTTATCCCTTGAAAATAGACTATCAATCGAAAATCGAAATAAAAGCAGTTTTTTACAGTAAAAGAGAAGAGAATGTTTGATGGGCACTGTACGCAAAATTTTTAAAGCTTTATCAGTTAAATCTAGTTAACTGCACTACTACAGCGAAATCAAAAGGTACAAACGTTCATATAATCTTTTCTATATATATTATTTTACAAAAAAGGCACTTTATTTTAACGATTGTTTGTCATTTTAACTTCAACTAACTTTAGCCCAACAAGCCACAACTTGTCAATGTGTATTTAAAGTGTTATACAGTACTTAACCAGACCTTTACAATCTAAAAACATTTTAAATGCTACCACTGGCTCTAAAATCATCTAAATACCTTTAAAAACTTCTTTAAAGTTTCAAAAACGATCTTAAAAGTTCTCGATAAAAATTAATTTAAAAAAAAATGTCTTTCAGCTGAGAGCCCAGACGCGTCCCCGCAGCGCATGCGCACTCGGAACAAGGCGGCGAAAGAACAGCCCACTAAACCTTCTCGGCCAAAAAGAGGAGGCACCGAAACCCCGGAACCGAAAACGCCCGTCAAACAATCCACGAACAGTTCGAACAACTCTTCTTCCGGTGAAAAAGGTTCCGGCAACAACAGCTCGAGCACGCCGGCGAAAACGAAGAAGACCAAGGAGAAGAAGGGCGAAGAAACGCCCGGCAAGAACAGAAAAAGGCAGCAAGAGAAGGTCGAGGACGAAGAAAAGGAGGAAAAAGATCTTGGGGTGGTCAAAAAGAAGAGGGAAAGGCCCGAAAGCCCTTCGAGCCTTACTACAGATTCAGGTACGTACAAAATACTAGAGATGGGAATCGGAAAGTTTCCATTTCAAGGAAACTTTCCGTTTTGGAAAGTTTCCAATTGGGAATTTATTTTCATTTTGAAAGTTTCTTTTAAGCTACCGGAAACATTCCTTGGAAACTTTCCTTGTTTTTTTCATTTAAATTTCAATTGTTTAACCGCTGATTTTCGTTAAGGCCATGATACAAGGCCAAGAAACTTTGAATAAGAATTTAATGTGTGTTAATTTAAAGCAGAAGAAGAAGTATAAATAATGTAAGTTATGTTACATAACCTCAATGAAGCCGGATTATTCAGCATCATCACAAAAAACTTTTAAAAAAAAAGGCAAACAAAATAAAAACAATAAACAAAGTTAAAATCATTCTTACATTTTTGTTGTTTATTTATAGGCATAGCACAATGCCAAGAGAAAAATCTAGTGTTTGGAATTATTACAAAATAGTGCAAAAAAACAAAAATTTTATCAGTCAGAACTGCAATACTATTTTTAGTATCTTTTACTTTTCAATATTCCTTGTCCATTTTAATTTTTTTAAGTAATATCTAGGATTTACTAGCAGTGAATTTCTAATAGTAAACATTTTATTTTTATTTTGTAGGTTTCAGTATACAATAGGAATATTCCAAAGTAAAAGATACTAAAAATAGTATTGCAGTTACATTCTTATAAACATTTTTTTTATTTTTTTTCTTAATAAAATTTGACAAAAAGTTAATGTGTTATATATTTTTGCAAATCCCTGGCATAAAAAAAATATTTTCGCAATAAAAATTTTTTTTTTTAAACTTTCGGAAAATTTCGGGAATGTTCAAAGGAAAGTTTCCGGGAATTTTCGTCAAATGGGAATTTTCCCATCTCTACAAAATACTGTACGTTTTTTATTTGTAATGACATTTTTTTCATCGCAGAAACTATTAATGACGAACCTGACGCACCAGAACCGGACTCCGAATCTCTGGACAACTCGGCAACGCCGCAAGCGAGCTCGCCACCTACGTTCGGCAACGGCGCGGCGAGTGCTAACCTGACAACGCCGCCTGTCGTCGCCGCAGCCAATAACAACAATCCGCTGCCGCAAGACACGCCCACAAATAAACAAAACGCAGTGAAGGTGGAAGTTAGCGAGACTATCGAGAGAGGCGCTGACGAGAAAATGGCAACGCCGCAGGTGCCTGCGGTGTTGCCGCTTATACCCATAAACAAGGTGAGATTTTTGTGTTTTGTTTATTTCTGCTATTGAAAATTTTTTTGTTTTTCAGCCCATTTCAGAACCGACTGCGCCATTGAACGTTTCGATTCGTCTGCCTGAAGATATTAACGATAGAAAGAACTTAATAAAACGTAATTTAGAACCGGTTTTGGACCTGAAAGATCTGAAATTCAACCCAGAAAGCGTAAAGATGGAAGTCAAGAAAGAAAATCCTGCCATCATCAAGTCTGAAAGTCAACCTAAGGTTAGTGACCATAAAATATTTACCTTTCTCTTTTGGCATTTCCTAAACGAGACCTATAAGGAATAAAATTTAATAATGGTATAAATTGGTTTATTAATAATAAATTAAAAAAACTAAAAATAAAAATATGAAGAAATTGTCATAGTTATTCTTCATTTTCTAATAAAAGATGAAATCGAAGAGGGTTGAACATAGGGTTGGGACAGTTGAAATTTTCAAATGAAAATTTCAACTTTTAAAGTTTCAAACTTGAAATATTTCATTTAGTTGGAAAAGTGAAATTTTTAAAAATTTCAAATGAAATTTTCAATCCGAAAATTTCAACATTGCCTGTGAAAGTTTCAGAAATTTCATTGAAAGTTTCGCAATTTACTGATAATTTCGCATAAATTTCACATGCGGCCTCCCCTGGGACCTTTAATAATAATTTACAACAGATTCCAAATCGACCAATAAGAACGAGTTATCCAGCGTCTGGGCGTTTTTGTTTAGTTCGGCTTGGATTTGAATACACTATAAGTAATTATTGTTACTTATATGCATAAATTAATTTAAATAATTAAATTCAGTTACCAATTTAATTTGTAAATTAAATCAGACTTTAAAATTTTTTTAAAAGTCATGATTAATTTAAACTTTTACTTTTGCTATAATTGCATCGGAAAACGGATAAAAAATGCCTTTGACTCATAAAATTTTCGTAAAATTTCAGTAAGGGGCCGTTCATTAATTACGTGAGGTGTTTAGGGGGGGAGGGGGTCGAGCCAAACCTCACCAAATCTTACGTGGGGGGGGAGGGGGGTTCTCGGCAAATATCACGTAATTTTTTTTTTCCGAAAGAAAGAATGTAAAATTGCGAGAAAACTGGGTTAAATTAAGTAAACAATTATAAGCAAATTGTTTTTTTTTAATAAATCTAATGAAATCAAGCACAGATTAACTTTTTACATTAAAACCATGCATTTAAAAAAATCTCACGTGAGATTAAGGGGGGAGAGGGGGTCGAGCAAAATCTCACGACAACTCACCAAGGGGAGGGGGGGGCTCGAAAAATCGCCAAAATTGTCTCACGTAATTAATGAACGGCCCCTAAACAGTCAGTGAGTCGCAAACAAATGGGTCACACTGTATATGACCCATTTGTCTGCGACTTACCCCTGTAAAATCTTTTATTTATTGTGCGATTTTAACCGGATTTGTTTTAAAGTGTAGATCTTGATAAACTGTATTTTTGGAGCAAAAACGCCATATTTGTACAAAATACAAGGCCTACTATGTCAGGTTTTAAGAGTAAATTTTTAATAATTCATATTAGCGACTTTTTTAAAACAAAATCTAAGCTTGGCACCACCCCTCCAAACGACCCTTTACTAAATTTTATTGAAAAATTTTAAGTAGAAAAATACACAATAATTCACTAAAATGTTACCCCTTAATATAATATTTTTTCTGTTTTTCCTCAAGATTGAAAAGGAGATTCTAAAAGAAGACATCAAAGAATCGTCGAGTGAAAAATACAAAACTGAGTTGATAATTCCTAAAGTAATATCAATGGAAAAAGTAATAATCAAAGAAGAGTTAGATTCTAGCAATGACGCCATCAGCGTCAACTCAAAAGAAGATTCCACGATGTTTAAAGAGAATGTGTATGGACCTTTGAAAGATCAACAAAACATGTTCAACATCAAAGATATTAACCACGGTGCGCAAAAACACCCGTTGGGCCTAAAGGAACCGCAAATAGAGCGAAACATGGAGCAAATCATCAACATTAATCATAGTCTGAAGCAAGAACCGTACAATTTCAATCAACCGCCGCCTTCCAGTAACCTTAACAAAGAATCCGCTCAGCAACCAATCAAAATCGAGCCGCGCGACGAACCCATCGAACTGACCAGTAACAGAGGCGGCGACGTGGCAACGCCGCTCATTCAAGCGCCGCAACCGCAGCCCACTTTGAATATACCGCAGGTCGTGCCGCAGAGCCAGCAGATGGCGTCGTCGGCTGGTAGTGTCGTGAACAGTGGTGGGGGTAACGTTAGAGGTGGCGCTGATGGAGGTTACGAAGTGGAGGATAAGAGGTTGGAGAGGTTGGACAGGCCTGAGAGGTTGGATAGACCTGAGAGGCACGATTTGATGGCGGGTGCTACAAGTATTGGTAAGTTTGTTTTTCTATTTTATATGATCAGGGCTCCCACACCTCCTAAAGTTCCTAAAACTTGGTTTAAATCTTAAAAACTCCTATAATTTCCATCAATATCCTAAAAATAGAGGTATTCTTTTTTAAAAAGTATATATTTTTAGGTTCTAGTTTATTAAATTTAGGGTTTTAAAGGGTCGAAAAAATTAGGGGAAAACTGTTTTTTTTTTTAGTTTTTATCCCAGGCATTGGAAAATTTTTCTTTTTTGGTAAAAATTGAATTTTGTTTTGGAAAATATACCTACACATTTGAAAAGGGTAGCAACCAACAACTTAACATTATTTTAATTTAAAAAAATATCCTTTATTACAGAAAAAAAACTAAACATTGAATTAAATTAAATTGATTTAAGAAAATAAACGTAAACGTCCATTAAAAATATCCCATTTCAAAATAATGATTAATTTATAAAGTTAAAATACAAAATTATAATTTTATAAATTGAATTGTCAAATAAAACAAAAGTTATGTATTAACAGCATTGAATATAACCATAATATTATGATTATAATCAGCGTAGGAAATTCAATATTTTTTTGATATCAGTGAACCTATATTATCCGTAAAATTTGGAAATTTTTAGAAAAAATGCAAATTCAATTTTTCTGAAAATTTCCGATGCTCCCGTGGACGAGTTTTGGTTCGTGCCGCGCATGACGTCACTTGATGAGTAGTTGCCGTGCGAATACACGAAAAATAGTAATATTATTAAAGAAAATAGAGAAATATCTGGACATAGTGCGTTTTTATTTAACTTGGAATTGAACAAAGTGTTATAATATGCATAATAGATGCTTTCAGTCCTTGATAACATTTAGGGCTGTTGTTTAAGAGTTGGTGTTTTAAATTAAACTAATAGCCACTGTCCAGAAAATGTTTAGAGGTTAATATTGTCTATTCTTTTTGTGACATTTAACCACTGTTTGCACAAATCAAAGTTTTTCGGGAATCGATGAAATTTAATGTTTTTATTTAAAGGGTTTTTCTTGGACTGGTTGTCCGAATTGCATCCAAATATGCCACACCGCATTTTAATAAATGCAAATGGCACGACACAAACTAAAACACAAACAAAACAAGTTATAACGCAACACAAAAACAATAATAAACAAACAGAACAGCAATAACAATAATTTGAACACTGAAAAGTAATTCGAACCTTACCGAACGCAAAAACAACAAGTTGAACAAAAAAATAGAGCAAGTTAACATCCAAACAGCATCACAAAAACAAGAATTTTAGCAGCAGATAATTAAAACGCACGTTAAAGATTTAAAAATACTCAACAAGTGACGTATTTAAGCCCCGCCCAACATGCGCACCATCCTATCTTAAGATGGGTAATACCGACATCTGTCAAAATTTTTAGGAATAAAAAAAATAATCAAACTTTAGTATTTCTAGAATTTTACGTAGATCTTTAAATTGCAATAAAATTTACATGGTTCCATTTGAAAAACCAAAGTTCCGGTTTAACCGGAAGTTATAACGCATTGAAAATAATTTTATAAAAAAAGTTTACATTGCCTTATAATTGCTATACAAATTTCAAATCAATATCAGTCAATGTAACTTATTTGTACAAAATAAGTGATATTTATCTATTTTTGTTAAAAAAAATAATTTTTTTTCTTATTTTTTAAGTATAAAAATAAAATAAAAAGCGTAGGTACTGCACTTGTCAAATATGGCGAGTTAGGTTACAAAAAAAATACATTGCCGTAGATGTAAACTAGCCGTCAGTTTGACAGCTAATTGAATAATGAATCGTCAGTTACCTAAATTACAAATGAGGAGCATCCGTGCAAAACCGTTTTATTCGGTTTTTTGTTTTGTTTTTATTTCGCATCTTTGGGTTAATTTCTATCGACAACGAAGATAATTATGTTTAAATCCGACTATATCCATGTTAAAATCACATTTAAAAGGTAGCTTTAGGAGCAAAACCGGCCAAATCCACGTTTTTATAGCAAACCCGGCTATATCCAATAAATAATAATGATGACGAGCATGTGGCTTGGATATGTCGATACTACTACTAAAATTTGTTCTGTTTTTCATGTTTTTACTTAATTTATTTTGTATATATATTTTTGAATAATAAAGGTTTTTTCACATTTTATTCGTAGGTTTTTGAGCAAAACCGGCTATATACAAAACATTTTTTGAAATTTTGGCCTTAATATAAAGTTTTTGAAAACGAAAGTATGTCTCACAAAACTCAAGTTTGCTTTTTTTTTATCTGTAAAGGCCAGGAAACCGAGAGTTTTTGCCATTTTCCCAACATTTTATTAAAGTGGATATAGCCGGTTTTGCACAGATGCCCCTCAAATGAAGTACCTCTCATTTTAATACGTGTACGCTTTTTATTTGCATACGACTGTACAGTGTTGTTTTTATTTAATTACAGAAATTCATTTGCATACCTTATTTCTCCTAAAATTCTCCAAAAAACCTCCTGAATTCCTAAATAAAATTCGTAATTTTGTCGTAACATTTTTAATTTTAACTAACCAAAACCTATATTTCAAGGTCAACCACCGCTCCCAAGCCTGATGCAATCCAGCAACCTGGTGACGATAGGCGGCTCCGGCCAGCAACCGCCGCCCCCGCCGATGGGTCACTACGGCTTCATGTACCACCCGCAGTCCCCGTCGCCGCGCCAAAACATCGACGCGAAACCGCCGCCTCCGCACAGCCAACCTACACCGCCGCACGCGCAGCAACCGCCCGCGCACCACCCCCAGCAGAGCGCGCAACCGCCGCCGATAGTTATGCAGCAAAACGAACCGCAAAACCTGAAGATCAAGCAGGAGGTGCGGGATTCCTCGCCCCTCGGTGCGCCGCCGCCGGCGAGGGACGCGCACCTCGGCGTCATGTCTTCGCCCTACGGGGGCGGGCAGATGCCGCCGTCCGCGCAGCAAGCGGGCGCCATGGGTTTGCCGCCGCCTCCGAGCGGTTTTCAGCCGCCTTCGGTGGGCGCGCATCCGTTGCAACCGCCGCCACTGGCGGCCGATCCGTTGCAGAGTCTCAAGGATGTCAAGGTAAGAATAAAATATCATTCCAGAAATATGTTAAACCGTCAGATTCAACTTTCAAATCAAAACTTTTTCTCGCTTTTAAAATTACTTTTAAAAGAGATTTTTAACAAGCCTTCTAACCTTCTAAAATTATTCTGAAAACTTCATCTACCTTTCTTGAATCTTCTAAAATCAACAGCGCAATTAGCTTCTAAAACCAAAATATTTTTAAAGCTTTTTCTTTATTTTAAAAGCTTGTTTCCTACAATTATCCTATAAGCTTTTTCTAGCTTCTAAAATTACCTTAAAAAACTTAATTTTTTAATTTAGATTTTAAAATCATCCTAAAAACTTCTTCTACCATCTTCTTCTAGCTTCAAAATCATCTCAAAATAGCTTTTAAAACCTGAATCATCTTAAATTTTAAAAGCTTTTAAAAAGCTTTTTCTAAACTCTAAAAGCTTCTAGCCATCAGAATTCAGTTGAAAGCTTTTCTAGCTTCTAAAATAATCTTAAAAGCTTCTAGCTTCTTGAATTTCTAAAATGCTTTTTAAGCATCTAATAGTATATTCTGTAACAAGTTTGGAATACAGCATATTCCGCTCGAGTGAAGAGTTTGTCACAAGAGCTGAAGGCGAGTTTGACGGTTTCACGAGAGCGGAATATGCAATTCCAAACGTGTTTCAGACTATACTTTTTTTACGTTTCCAAAAAATTCCATAGAAAAATAATTTAATTGGAAGAAAGTGAGGTTGGATCGGTCTAAAACGTGTTTCAGACTATACTTTTTCTACATTTCCAAAAAATACCATAGAAAAATAATTTAATTGGAAGAAAGTGAGGTTGGATCGGTCTTGGTTTTTCTTGGAAAATGTTGAATGCAAAATAATTTAATAAAATCACGAGACCGCGTAGCGGTCGAGAGACTTTATTTTTAATTATTTTGCATGAAACTATTTTCCAAAAAGAAAAATCAAATAAAAAACTTACTGAGCATAGTTTGACAGATTAAATTTATAGGTTAAGTGATATACGTCTAGATTATTTCTCGAATTATTTGACAATTCATAAAATCTGACGTATGTGTCAAAATTTATAAATATTTTTTTATAAGAAAATTCCATTAATTTAAGGTATGTAATAAGTAATAATTGATATTTCGTAAACTAGATAACTTATTTTTTATTGTTTTTTAAAAAATGTTTGTTAAAACTTGTAAAAAACACCACAAAATCGTAAACAAAAATCCAATATGGAGGCTAAAATTAAATCGCTGTTAAATAGTTGTAGTGATTTAATCGCTTATTTAATAGTTATTTATGTATCAAGGGCATAATAAGGTTTTTATGGTCCCAGGCTATTTCGAGCCCGAGCGCGTTAGCGCGAGGGCTAGAAAAGCGTCGTAGGACCATAAAAACCAGTTATGCCAGCAATGCATACAAAACTTTATGCACGATTAATATATTATTATTTTTAATAAATTATTGTTTTTAAAGACGTTTACGTCAAAGAATTTTTGTTATAATTGTCATATTATAATGTCAACTGACATCAGTCAGTTTTAAAGTTTAAAGATGAATGAAATTGAGGAAGCAGCTGAAAAGGCGAAAAACTGCGGCCTGCTGCCGGAAAAATCAAAATCTTTATACGAAAAAACTTACTTCGAATATATCAAATGGTGTAACATTGTTGTTTTTAATTTTTGACGTTTTATTATAGCCTGCTGGGTCATAATAACGCCCGCGGGCTATAAAAAGACGTTTACGTCAAAGAATTTTTGTTATAATTGTCATATTATAATGTCATCGTGCATAAACGAAATTTATTCGAAAATTCAAGACTTTTGATTGGTTCATATTATAATGAGGGAAATAATCATTACAAAATCTTTAAAACGTTATATACAAAGTTTTTTTATTAAAAGCTTATACCTTTGAAACCATCTAAAATAATATTAAAAGCTTATTTTAACTTTTGTTTACAATGCAAGCTTTAAAAATTATCCTAAAAGCTTTTAGGCCTATAAATTAAAAAATCATCTAGAAAGCTTATTAAAACTTCTCATAAAACTTTCTACCTTTCAAAATAATCTAAAAAGCTTCTAGATTTTTAATCTTCCAACAACATTGTAAGAATTACTCTTAAATGCTTGACTAAAAATCATCTTCCTTCTAAAATGATGTTTAAAAACTAATAATTATTGAACATTTATTCAGGTACCCGGCTATCTGCCCCCACCCCCGCAACAACCGTCGAGCTCGGAGCGCCCTCTATCCTCCAACAACCAAACGTCGACCCCCACCGCGGACGCCATCAAAAAGGAACCGGAATTCTCCCAGCACCACCACTCGCAAACGACGTCGTCGTCGTCGAACCCGTCGCCCGCGCAATCGTCCTCGGAAAAGTGCACCACCCCCAAAACGACCAGCAGCACCCCCACGCCCAGCATAAACGTCAGCCAGACGCCGCCGCTGCGAGGCAGCCCGCACAGCGCCATCAACTTAATCAGCCCCGGCGGCCCCCCCATCAGCCTGGCGCAGAGCATGCACCACGCCGGATATCCGGTCTCGAGCGGCATGGGCCCGCCGCCGCACCTGGTTCACCCCGGGTTCCTGCACGCCATGCACCAGTTCCACGGGCACGGGTATCCGGGCTACGCGTTCGGATATCCGTATCCGTATCCGGTGCACCAGCCGATCCCGCCGCCGAGCAGCAGGCAGGACGTGGTCATGCAGCCGAAAAGTATCGACACTTTGAGCAGTACTCTGCACTCTTCGCAGCATAGCACTACGAGTTCGTTGACTACCAAACGGGAGACTAGGTAAGTTCAAAACTGGTTTTTATTGCAACATTTTCACTTTTTAAAATTGTGTTGACTTTTAAACAAAATTTGTGAACAATATCATATCATCAATTTATTTAATAATTCACAATTTAGTACATAAGCATAAAAGTTAAATTGCACTATCTGCTGTGAAACAGTTTATACAAAGATTTAATGCGTAACTCACAATTTAGTGTTTATTAAGTAACCTTAAGGTTGAAAGTTCACAAAATTTTACTTTTATGAAATTATAAATAAGATTGAAATAAAATATAAGATTGAACATCGCATGTGCCAACAATTTTTCTCTCTCCATTTTTTAAGGTTATAATTAATAATTATTGTGTTTTGCGTTTGTGCCTTAAAAAAATACTACAACGTTCCTACAAACATGAGTTTTAATGAGGGATTTTGTGTTATTTGTCACTTTTAATCATGAATATTGTCATTCAAAAAAATAAAATTTGTTTCAAATTAATGAATTGTATAAACCAGATTTTAGAGTTATGTACAGTTGTATTCATTAAAAAAGCGTACAAGAATTAGAATGAGAGAAAACTGTCAACATTATTGCGTAAAACCGGCTTTCCACTGACTTAAGTCACTATAACTGACAGTAGAAAATAAAAATGCCTCGTCAGTTAAAAAGGCTCAAATAGTATCAAGAATCGAAGAAGAATGGTCAATTCGTACTGTGGTATAATAGAAATAAAAACTCTATATTAAAAATTAAGCAACGCTGGGAACAGGAAGGTTTACTAAACCAAAAAGTTGGTTCAGGTCGTCCCAAAATGTCCACCCCTGAACAGGATCCTGCTTTTTTGGGATATCTGAGGATTTATGGGAAACTATACAACTATACTATACCTACTATACTGCTGGGAATATATTAATCCAAATATTGTATTAAATTTAATTCAGTTCATCCCAAATAGATTGGCTCAAGTAATAGAAAAACAGGGATGCATGACTAAATATTATTTTTTTTTAATGTTTGTTTTTTTTCATTTCTAAAAGGTAATAATTTTTGTAATATTATTTAATTAATCTACGACGTCAATGCTCTTTATAACCTATAGTAATTATTTTAATGACTTATGTCAGTGATAAGCCGGTTTTAAGCAATAATATTATTTTGACAGTTTTCTCTCATTCTAATTCTTGTACGCTTTTTTATTTAATACAACTGTACTATGTATTAAATTATGCATTAAAATTAACAATTGAGTTATGAAATAAATTGTCCACTAAATTATCAATTGTTGTATAAACCCGACTTAACATTTTAAAATGTATTTGACTTTATTTAATATATTTTTAAAATTAGTGTGTCTCCCATTTGCTTCAAGTATTAAGCATTTTTGCGGATTTTACAGTATACACAATGGAAATTAGTAAGTTTCTTTGTTTTAAAATATTTCCGAAATTAAACTTTTTAATAGAGATGTGAAAATTCCCATTTGACGAAAATTCCCCGAAACTTTCCATCGAAAATTCCCGAAATTTTCCGAAAGTTTCAAAAAAAAATTTTTTATTGCGAAAATATTTTTTTTATGCCAGCGATTTGCAAAAATATATAAAACATTAACTTTTTGTCAAATTTAATTAAGAAAAAAAATAACAAAAATGTTTATAAGAATGTGATGGCGGGTTTATACAACTTCATACCTATCATTAATTTATTTCATAATTCATAATGCATAAGCATAAAAGTTAAATCGCACTATCTGCTATGAAACAGTTTATACAACGTTTTAATGCGTAACTCACAATTTAGTGTTTATTGAATAACCTTGGAAGTTCACAAAATTTAACTTTTATGAAATAAATTATGAATTATAAATATATAAAATTAAACCGCGCATGTGCCTACAATTTTTCTCTCTCCATTTTATAAGGTTATGATTAATAATTATTGTGTTTTGTGCCTTAAAAAATACTACAAAGTTTCTACATAACATTTCAATGATGGATTTTGTGTCACTTGCCACTTTTAATAATCAATATTGTAATTTAAAAAAATAAAATATTTACTAAATTAATGAGTTGTATAAACCAGATTTAACTGCAATACTATTTTTAGTATCTTTTACTTTGGAATATTCCTATTGTATACTGAAACCTACAAAATAAAAATAACCGCGAAAATAGGTCGTAAAAAGGAAGGTAGTGAAATCTTCACTACCTTTATTATACAGCTTTCACTGTAAAAATACTTGAATTTTTGTTATGTTATGTTATTAATCTCACCGATTCAATTAAAGATGATCTTAACCAGAGCTGGGAGTATCTTTAAAAAAAAGATACTTAAAAGTAACTTAGATACCTAAAGTATCTAAGATACTTTTTATATTGGACCGAAAGTATCTTTAACTTAGTTACATTGAGATACATTCAAGTAACCTAGATACTTTAAAGTAACTAAGATACTTTTTAATATCTGAGCTAGTGTTGCAAACAAGGAAAAGTTCGGTCGAAAAGTTGTTGGAAAAGTTGGAAAAGTTCGGCAAGTTATTAGGTGGGAGCCAATGAACAATGAGTTGACTTCTAACCAGTGTTTCCACTACCATAAATTTTTTTTGGTAGATAATTTGGTCAAAATTCGATATAAATCGCTAGATTTGAAGTGTTTTTAGTAAAACATGCTAAAAGCATTGTTTTTTGGAATAACATTCTGTCAAACTTTATCAAAAATGGTGTCTGCTAACAGCATTTTCTATTATATAAAGATTGTTTTATTATAACGTATTTTAAATTTAAACACAGTATGAAAAAAATATTATTTTTTTTAATTATGGAAATTTGAAAGTGAAAATATAAAAGTGGAAAAAAAGAAAGTTTTCTTCAATAAATTTAATAATTTTTGCTTCATATTTTTTTGTAATTATTTTTTATTTCGTATGTGTTTTTTTATGGTGTGTATAAATTTCTATTTTTTTTTACTTAAAAAATATGATTTTTTTATTCAAACCTAGTTTATTTTTGTTGTTATTATGTTGTCTGTTCATTTTATTTTGTTTGATATTTTTTTTTGTTATTTTGTTACGTATGTATAAATACATAAGAAATAAATTATTTTAATACATTGACAAGCATTATTTATGTTTTATACGTTTACATTAAAAAAAACTCAACTTTTCCATCTTTTCCAACTTTTCCGAACTTTTCCGAAAAATAAAACCCAAAAAATTTCAACTTTTCATGAAAAGTTGCAACCCTAATCTGAGCTCTACTTTTTAGAGACCTTTTGTTTTTTAAACAGTGCTGTCTTTGTACTTTGAATTTCTTTGTTTATTTATTTTATAAACTTTGTTCTATTTGACTACTTTTTTTGACTTGTCACAAACATTTTTTTGTAAAGCTGACCAATAAATTAATATTTTTACGATTATTAACATTATTAAAATTATGTTAGGGAACCTGTCGACGACGGCAGCGAGCGCCACCAGACGCACGAAATGACGCTGACGAACCACCAGAGCACGTCTCACAACAGCTCGATACACGCGAGCATGGAAAAGCACAACTACGGCGGCTCGCACTCGATAACGATCTCGCACTCGACCTCTACCAGCTCGTCGCAGAGCCTGCAGCACAAGGTGAACCAGAAGACGACGTTGCGCTCGTCGAACAGCCCCGGCGGGCACGGCAGCGTCTCGCAGACCACCACCTCGAACATCAACCACTCTTCGAGCAGCTCGGGCGGCGGGCAGCACAGCCACACGCACCACCACACGCATCACCACGCCGACAGGCTGAGTCCCGGCAGCGCGATGCTCAGGCACAAGGTCGTGCAGCAGGCGAATCCGCACCATCTGATGATACAGCCGCCCAATATGGGGCATCATCCCGGAGCCTTGGGTGAGTGTTTTTAGTTGGAAATTTCCGCAAAAAATTGTGCCGGCGTAAAAAAACTTTTTTTCCAAAAAAAAACGGTTTTTTCGAAGAAAAAACTGAAAAATTTTGCATTTTTTTCATTTTATTTAAAAATGCAAAAGATTTTTTTGTTTGAAAATTTACAAATTTTGACGTTGATTTTAATCTTACGATATGATTATATTTATTTCTTTTATTTTAATTCAAAAAGAATATTCTACCGGGTCGCAAAAAAACATATTAGGTGCTATTATAGTTAATATAATATTAATTATCGTTTTATTTAACACATCAATTTATAAAATTATAATTTTGTAATTTAACTTAATAAATCATTAATTATTTTTTAATTGGATATTTTCAATGGACTCCCTTTTGCAAAAAGGGCCCAACCGACAGTATATTTCAGGGCTCCCACACCTCCTAAAACTCATTAAATTCCTAAAATTTTGCTTAAATCTTGAAAACTCCTAAAATTTTCCTAAAATTGTTCAATCTCCTAAAACTCCCAAAATCCTTAAAATTAAATTTAAATAGGCCAACCTGACTGCGTTTAATTAAGGTAGTGCTAAAAAAATTCTTTATTAAAAAATATATATATTTAGGTTCTATTTTATTAAATTCTTTTTAAAATGATATAATATCACAACTAAAATTTAAAAAAAAAACATAAAAACTTCAAAATTGTAATTTTTAGCGATATTTCGTTTTTTAGTAAAAAATATACCGTGTTATATACAAAACAAAAGGATTTTTAATTTTCTTTTAAATGACAGCTATAATAGTAAACAATGTTTTGCTGTATTTTGCAAACTTCATATTTTGTTATGAGATTTTTAAGTATAAAGATCCACATTACAATTGAATCGGTGAGAATAAAAACAGTACAAGTCCAAAAATTTAATTTTGACAATTTATTTTCTAAAATCAATTTTAAAGTTTAAAATACATTTTTGTTAGAAGATATAAATTATTTTACAGAATATGAATATTATATTTAAATATTCTAACAAAAATGCATTTAGAATTATAAAACTGATTTTTTGAAATATTTTATCAAAAATTTTACTTTTGGACTTGTACTATTCTTAACATTATCGATTTAATTACTGGTAGTTATTAACTAAACGGTTAACATGTTTTGTCTTAAAATATAAAGATAACATCATTTGATTTTGGCATTAACCAAATCTATCGACGCATTTTTTTAAATAAAATTAAAAGTGTGGTAAAATTTATACTTGTACCTCAGATAGGTATATACAAAAGTAGTAATTTTACCTCACTTTTAATTTTATTTAAAAAAAACTCGTCAAGCGATTTGGCTAAAAAAACTAGTCAATATAACTTATTTTTCCAAAATTATTAATTTTTTTTTATTTTTTAAGTAGTAAAGAGATGTTTTTATTTAATTAAAGAAATTCATTTCCATACTTGATTTCTCCTAAAATTTTACAAAAAACCTCCTAAATTCCTAAATAAAGGGCTCCCACACCTCCTAAAATTCATAAAATTTGGCTTAAATCTTAAAAACTCCTAAAATTCTCCTAAAATTGCCATCAATCTCCTAAAACTCCTAAAAATTAAATATAAATAGGCCAACTTGACTGCGTTTAATTAAGATAGTTTTGCTAAAAAATTTCTTTTTTAAAAAGTAATTTAAAAAATATATATTTTTGGGTTCTAGTTTATTAAATTCTTTTTAAAATGATATAGGTATGACAACCTACATTTTTCTTAAAAAACAACAAAATATACCATAAAACAAAATCCATGTAGTGGCTTCTAGACTTCTACAAAATTGTCATTTTTAGCCATATTTCGTTAATTTTCGACAAAAATATACCGTGTTATATATCAAACAAAAGGATTTTTAATTTTCTTTTAAATGATAGCTAAAATAGTAACCAATCTAAAGAATGTTGTAACAATAACAACTGTTAAATTTTTTTTTTTAAAATATAAATATAACATCATTAAACTTTGGCCTACTTTTTTAGCCATATCTATCGACGCTTTTTTCTTAAATAAAATTAAAAGTGTGGTGAAATTTCTACTTGTAGATATGTATATACAAAAGTAGTAATTTTACCTCACTTTTCATTTTATTTTTGTTAAAAAGAATTTTTTTCTTATTTTTTAAGTATAGTGTAGAGTTGTTTTTATTTAATTGAATAAATTCATTTGCATACTTTTTTCTCCTAAAATTCTCCAAAAAACGTCCTAAATTTCTAAATAAAATTTGTAATTTAACCGAGGGAGCCCTGGGATTTTAAAAATTCTATTTAACTATCCAGTCAATTTATGTGTTTATATTTTTCTTTTTACTTATTTTTTAAATATTTGAAATATTTTAACTATTAAGATGATTTTCTTATTTAATTATTTGGATAACATATAATATTATATCCTATACAAATTTTACTACCTTTTTAATATTTTATTAACACTAGTTTTATTATTTTTTTATTTCTAGGACCTCCAATGGGCAGCTCACTCGAAGCCCTAAGAGCCCACGCACACGCGGCCCAGCAGCAGCAGGCTGCGCAAGCGCAACAAGCCCAGCAACAACAAGCCCAAGCGCAACAGCAAGCTCACCAGCAAGCCCAGCAGCAGCAGCAACAACAGCAGGAGAGAAGCATGCACCCGCCACCCACATCGCCCATGACGTCATCGTCGCAACCGCTGCAACTTCAGCCCGTCAAACTGCCACCTAGCGACGAGATCGTGAAGATCGAGCCCGACCCGGAGCCCGTCCCGGAAGAGGAGGGACAAGTCAGCCCTCCGGGACCGCCCAGAGGGCCTTCTCCCGAACCCAGGATAGAGGACAATGAGTGTCACAGAAGTCAGTCCGCAATGTAAGTAGATTTTTTATTATAATTCTTATTTTTAACAGGAATCAACCAAATTTTAAAATTTTACTTGATAGTGGTTGGTACTGGAAATCGCGAAAACTCGAATGTGACATTTCTGTGCAATGTTGCCGTGTCTCATGCTTTTGCACAAGATCTAAAGTTTTTCCAATCAATTTTATGTTATCATGTTTAATTTAAAAAATCTCATGCATTTTCACAAATTCTAGCATTCTAGTATTTTTTAAAACATGTCTATCATAAATGCCATTTTTTTAATTCTCAGCAATGGGGTTGGAACATGATGTCAAAAATCTATGTGGAACTACTTCTATTATAAAGATCAATCATTAAAAACAAACATACCGTTGAAAAAAACGATTTTTACTATAAATTTTCCTTAAAAATAAAAATTCATTTCACTATGCCTCAAATCTACCCTAAATTAAATTTTATTGAAAAGTTTTAAGTAGGAATGTTTTTGTAGCTAAATTAAAAATGCACAATAATTACTATTTACAAAAATTTATTCTATCAAGCTATCCATGAAAAAACATTGAAATAAATTAAACTAATAGTAATATGGTATAAATATTCTTATGCTTAGTTTTAACAAATAAAAAACGCAATAGAAATTTAAAACAACAATAAAACAAAAAATAGTCCACGCCAAATCGGCCAAGACAAAGACTTCATGTTTCCAATTTGCTTCAAATTTTCAGGGTCGATAGAGGAACTAAAAAAATGGAGAAATCTAAAATTTTAACCTCTTTTATGTGGGTTTTACAAAATAAACAAAATAAATGTCACTTCTCTTATTTTTCGATTATTTAAAAACCCGAAAGACAAAAAATTTCGAAAAAAAATCATATACAACAACAAATTTTTTGACAATCTTTAAGATAAAATAAAAAAAAAATTGTTCACAAATTCTCAAAAAAATTTTTTTTATTAAAATTTAAGTTCCCAAAAAACGCCATGATAGCCCTAAGTTTCCCGCAAATTTTGAGTACTTATTTTGGGGGGGGGCTCAAAAACTGTGGAAGTTATGATTTTTTTTTGTAAAGAAATGCGTCTAAAGGCCGATTCTCACATAGCGACGCTACGCTACGCTACGCGACGCGACACTTTAAAATGTAGCTGATGAAAGATTTCCATGCATTTAAATGAGACAATTCCCACATAGCGACGCGACAAAATTTTGTCGCTTCCTGGAGCGAAAATAGGGCGCGATTTTGAAGCATCGCATTAATATTTTCAAACTATATTTTATTAAAACTACAAATTAGTTTTTTTTCTAATTTATTAAAAAAATCTAAACAATCAAATTAAAATATTGTCGATGGTCTAGCAATAACTATGTGCAAATAAATTTTTTTTAACCGACTGAAGTATTTAAAAAACTTACCATTACAATAACAATGTTTTAGTTTAATTAGGTATTTTTTTAGGTAATCTTTTAGGTCTCGTTAAAAAAATTTAAGAAAACATAGGTTTTTATTTTAACTAAGAAAGAAAAAGTAATAATATTTATTAATGTTCTATGATTTTACTAAAATTTAAGAAAATCGGAACCATTAAGTCTTACTCTTGACCGATTTAGGGTGGACTGCCCCATATATTTAATATATATACGAGGTGTGTTCCGGGAATTTTCGTTTTTTGAAACAAATATTTATTTATTCGTCTACATTAATGTTGTTGCCTTCAAAATAGTCCCCATTGGCAATTATGCACATGTGCCAGCTCTTCTTCCAATACTCGAAACACTTCTAAAACTCGATTTTTGGGATAGCCTTTAGTTCTTTCAGCGATGCGCTTTTAATGTCGTCTATGCTTGAAAAACGACGGCCCTTTAAGGTTCTCTTTATTTTTGGGAATAGGAAAAAGTCAGACAGAGGCATGTCTGGCGAATATGGAGGCTGGGGCATCATTACAGTATTGTTTTTGGCCAAAAATTTTGTTCCAAATTTAACAATTTTAGAACAAATTTTGCTGGCACGCGTTTCATACCTAAAACATTCAAAAAAATTTCATGGGATGAGCCAATCGATATACCAAGATCATCAGCGACTTCTCTGATAGTTTATAACAATTTTTTCCACTTTTTCCATGTTTTTATCGGTTGTGCATGTGCTTGTGCGTTCGGGGCGTTCGTCATCTTCAGCGTCTTCACGGCCATCTTGGAAACTCTTATACCACTTATAAACTCTTGTTTTACTTATAGCAGACTCACTATAGGCCTTTGTTAACATTTCACAGAATTTATTTAATTTTTTAAGCAAAATTGGATAGGTACAAAATTTGTACTACAAATTCTTTGATCCATTTCTTTTAACGAACGAAAAATCGCCGAGCTCATAAAACACGTCTAACCTTAGCGGCTGCCACAGACAAAGTAAGCAATGAAAACAGCTAAAGTTTTTATCATACTTCGGGGGCATGTATACCAACATAATACAGAAAATTTTATGACAACCGGACCCTCCGAACCCGCGAAATTTAACAATTCCCGTTATTTTCTGAACACACCTCGTATAAATATATATATTTAATATTTTAAGATATATTCGTCAGGTATATTTTTCAAATCACAAAAATCTTGTTTAATAAAGTTTAATACAATAATAAATTAAATAATTTTACCACCTAAAAGTTGCTTTCCAGTACTTATTTTCGTAAAGTACCTAATTTAAGAATTTTCTCACTAAAACCAAGAAAAAACTTATTTTTATAAATTTTGCAACCTAAACGGGGGAAAATTAACATTATCGTCATATTATTTGAACAGATTCCTTCGTCACTGGAACCGAGGCGACTACAACTCGTGCACGAGAACCGACCTAACCTTCAAACCGGTGCCCGACTCGAAGCTGGCGCGGAAACGCGAAGAGCGGCTGCGCAAGCAGGCGGAGCGGGAGCGCGAGGAACGCGAGAGGGCGCAGCAGGCGCAACAACAGCAGCAGCAGCAGCAACAAAGGAAGATCGCGACGCCGGAGAAGCCCGAGCCGGGGACCAAACCCCCCTCCAGGGGGATGGAGGCCGTGGGAGGACCCTACGACCGGTTTCCCAGGGCCGGTTTTGCGGACACGCCTGCTCTGAGACAGTTGTCCGAGTACGCGAGGCCTCACGCTGGTTTTAGTCCTGGTAAGTCAAATAATCATATTACATACATCTATCACGTAAATGCATGGGACGCCGTTTTAGCATTTATTAGATAAAAGTTTAAAGATTAAAGTTTAGCAATTTAATTATGTTTTTAACAGAAATTTATAAATTTAATTTTTTTTTAACTCAAAACAATTAAGTTTAAAAATATTGATTTTTAAAAGTTTTAGTTATAATATTTTATTCTACAAAATTCATTTAAATGATAGATGATGATTTTTAATAGAAAAATTATTACATTACATTTAAACGACTCTTTACAAAATCAAATCAATTTTTTTATTTCAACAATTTTAAATTGATACATGTTTAAGACAAAATTTATAACTCTACATTTAAATGTTAGTCGGTAATTTTTAAATTACAAAGTGTAAACGTAGCTTTAGTAGAAGGCACAAGAGTCTAAATCGTGCTTGCTCCATAAATATTTGACGCGTTTTAGAAATTATCATATTGAAATGTTTCTTTATTAAATAAATTTAATAATAGAACAACATTTTTAGTGCCTATTGTACTAAGTTAATTTGACAATTAAAAAACATTTTTTCTAATTTTTAAGGGATTTTTTTTTAAATGTAGTGCCACAATATTACGTGGATGCATCATACAAATTCCTGCTTTCCGGATTTCGAGGTGAGGTTAAGTGTTAAGCCTGATTTTTAGATTGGCTTCCCTCCTTCCTCCCGTATAAGATGAACAATACAATCCCGTACGGGAATCTATAAACGGCACTACGGTTTTCGTATTGCTCATACGTATTGCCCATACAGAGGAGGGAGGAAGGAAGGAAGACAATCTATAAATCAGGCTTAACACTTAACCTCACCACAAAAGCCGGAAAGCGGGAATTTGTATGATGCATCCTCGTAATATTGTGGCCCTACATTAAAAAAAAAATTCTCAGAAAAATTAGAAAAAATGTTTTTTAATTGTCAAATGAACTTAGTACAATAGGCACTAAAATGTTGTTTTATTATTTAATTTATGTAATAAAGAACGCGTCAAATATTTATGGAGCAAGCACGATTTGGCAACACTGCAGATCAAACTGGCTGCATCGTGCCTTCTACTAAAGGTACGTTTACACTTTGTAATTTAAAAATTATCGACTTATATTTAAATGTAAAGTTATAAATTTTGTCTTAAAAATGTAGGTATCAATTTAAAATTGTTAAAAATAAAAGTTATTGGTTTAAATTTGTAAAGAGTCATTCAAATGTTAGTCGATAAATTTTTAATGCAAAAATTACCACTTTAAAATTTAAAACTAACATTTAATTGTAATGTTCAAATTTTTGTATTGAAAATTTACAAATTCAAACCAATAATTTTGAAGAATAAAATATTAAAATTAAAAGTAGCAATCAACAACTTAACATTATTTTAATTTTAAAAAAATATCCTTTAGTACAGAAAAAAAAATATTAAATTAAATTAAATTGATTTAAGAAAATAAAAGTAATACTGTCAGTTTGCAAAAAGGAGTCCATTTAAACTATCCAGTTACAAAATAATGAATGATTTATAAAGTTAAACTACAAAACTATAATTTTATAAAACGAAAGTTTGTAAATTAATACAGAACCGAATATGTTTTTTTGCGGCCCGGTCAAATATTCTTATTGAATAAAAGGAATAATTCTTATAATCATAAATTGACTTTTGCATTTTGTTCATAATAAAAAAATGCAAAAGTTAATTTTTCTGAAAATTCCCAATTTTTTCGGTTTTTTTTGCCGGCTCAATTTTTCCGGAAATTTCAAAACCCTAATTTGAATCAAAGTTTTTTTCCATTCAGCGATTTTTTTAAAAGTTCGTACTCAAAAATTTTCCAGGTCAACACATGCAACGGTCTCTTATACCGCCCGGCCATGTTATGGACCCGATGTTGCAATACCAGCTCAACATGTACGGTCCCGGCGCTAGGGAACGTCTGGAACTCGAGCATTTGGAGCGCGAAAAACGGGAACGAGAAATTCGCGAGCTGCGAGAGCGCGAATTGAACGACAGATTGAAGGAGGAGATAATGAAGAGCGGCATCAGGGGCCCCGGGAATCCCATGGACCCTCACTGGATAGAAATGCAGCGGCGGTACGCCGCCGCCAGTCTGGCCGGCCCCGGAGGTAAGAGAAGTATAGTGAACATTAGGGTGTGTCATTTTTAACAACTTTTTTTTTCAACTAAAAAACAAGCTAAAAACTTTCAGGAAGGTGAAAAAAGTAACAACTAAAAATTTGACCTCTTAATATTAACATTAAGTGGTGCCTGTTCTTAACTTTCCATTTTCCATTTAAATAACATGGAAAATTTTTTTTCTTTTTTCTTATTTTTGTAGCTTGACATTTGAGCATTGTAAAAACGAACTGAAAAATTATTTTGGTAGGAAATTTAACACTCTACAAAAAAGTTTCAATATATTTTTTTATAGAGTGAGCCGTTCTGAAGGTATTCAAACTTAAAGTTGCCTTTAACATTTCGAATCGCGGCACGTTAGCGTGCCTCTAGTCACTGTGTAATCCGAACGGTAATATACCGACTGAGCCGATATAATCTTTTATCAGAGTTATCGACTTTAAAATTATAAAAAAAAAGAAAAATTAAAAATTCAATACAATAACAAATTCATTGTTTTATTTCATCTATTATAATTATTGAACAAATTTATTGAACACAAATAACTTTTTTTGATAGTAAATAAAATAAAATGGAAAAAAATTAAGATGTAAATGTTATTTTCTTTCTATAGGAAAATAAATATTTTTTGTTAAAATAATTTTTAAGACATAAAAAAGTATTAGTCATAATTTCATACATTTGCAAGTTTGAATACCTTCAGAACGGCTCACTCTATGAAAAAATAAATTAGTACTTTTTTGTAGAGCGTTCAATTTCCTACCAAAATAATTTTTCAGTTCGTTTTTACAATGCTTAAATGTCAAGATACAAAAATAAGAAAAAAGAAAAAAATTTTTTCCATGTTATTTAAATGGAAAATGGAAAGGTAGGAACAGGCACCACTTAATGTTATTATTAAGAGCTCAAATTTTTAGAGGTTTCTTTTTTCACCTTCCTGAAAGTTTTTAGCCTGTTTTTTAGTTAAAAAAAAGAAGTTGCTCAAAAATGACACACCCTAGTGAACATCTTAAAAAATTATATTCATCGTATTTTTTTGTTTGTTTTCTAGGTCCCGGTGGTATACCTTTACACTTTGCCTTGTACCCGGGAGCCGGCGGTAGCGCCCAACTCTCCCAAATGGAACGCGAACGTTTGGAGAGGTTGGGAATACCGCCGCCCCCGGGTGGCCCTGGGGGACCGCCCCCTGGCCACCCCCACCACCCTCACGCCGCCCAATTAGAAGCGGAGCAGCGACTGGCCCTTGCGACGGACCCCATGGTGAGTAAAAACTTTTACTAAAAAGTAGAGATGGGAAAATTCCCATTTGACGAATATTCTCGGAAACTGTGGAAATGAGTTTTTGTGTCAGTGGATTACAAAAATAAATAATATTGGCTACCAATATAGAAATGTTTAAAATTAAAAATAACTAAATATAGTATTGCATTTCTGACCAATAAAATATGAAAAAAAAACTACAGGAGAAATAAAATCAATATTTTTGAGTGAGCTTAAGCCTTGAGTTTCTACAATTACACAGTACGACAAAATTTGATTTTTCCCCCCTCATGAAAAATTTCTATTGATTTTGAAAATAGACTAAAAAAAATGATACCCGTGTCTTGGCGTTTTTTTAGATCACGTCATTTATTTTTTATAAGAGCGCTTAAATAAAATGTTATCCACAGTATTCGGCACATGATATAACAGATTTGATAAGAGCTAGACTGTATATTTTTAAGAAAAATTTATTCACTGAATAAATGGACAACCATTAAAATTATTTTAATAATATACCCATTTCTGAGGTTTGGCAAAAGATATCTATTTGAAATTTTTAAAGCGTTTATTATTCAATTAAGCATATTTTCTAAAATATTTTAAGCAAAATGCCACTTCCGGTTTGACCGGAAGTTACATCATCTTTGTTATTTTAAATAGAACACCCCACATATTTTTACATTTTTAAATTCTAAAGTGAATAGTTTTCGAGTTATTAATTTTTTTCGTTAAAATTTGACAAAAATAGCCTATAACTTTTTTGCTATTAGGTTTGCCGAAATGGGGGTGTACTTTTTGAAATCCTAAAACATTGTTTAAAAGATTCCATGTCAATTCTTTAAAATTGTTTAACAAATTAGGTACCCAAAAAACCCAGAGCAAAACTTGAAACTTTAATCCCACCTTTAAAACGCCCTTTATCATACATGTTTCCATGACACTAAGTGACCTTTTAAATACACATTGTGGCTTTACGGCTTTAGTCGCGGGCTGAAGTTAGCAACAGGTTTTTAGTCACGGGCTGAAGTTAGTTTTAAGTTAGTTGACAAGTTGTCAAATGTCATACAATCGTTAAAATAAAGTGCCTTTCTTGTAAAATAATACTAAATGTGAAAATTATTTTATTATCTCAATTCAAAAATACAAAAATATTAAATAGTTTCTCAACGCCAAAATTTGAAAAGTTTATATGAACATTGTACTGACCTTTTAATTTCGCCGGCAGTAAACTATAACTTAAATTCGGGCACGGACTCTACTGTAAAGTCCTCATAAAACATTTCCTTTACTTTCACTGTGAAAAACTCAATTTTCAAGATACATTTCGATTTATAACCTTTATAATTGTGTTTATAAAATGTAAAAATGTGACATTTGACAGTTTCCCCTGTTGTTTTATAGATGGCGCTCTATACAAATTTTTGATTTAAATCATTTTAAGTATTTGTCGTAGAAAAAGTATAGTATGCACCTCTTTTATAAACTTTTCTATACACTCATTAAGTTAAGCACTCGCTCGCAAGCTCGCTCGTGCCTAAATTAAATTCGTGTATAAAATGGCGTTTATCAAACTTGATACATAATATACTATTTTTATTTTAAATGTATATTTTTACATAATTAAATAGAAAATTAAAAACATTTCGATTGATGTAATTGTTAAATATCTCTAAAATTATTAACTTAAATATAGGGAACTCGAAAACTATTTACTTTAGGTATAGGAAATGGTAAAGTTATTTTACTCAGAATTTGATGTAGAATTTAAAAATGTAAAAATATATGGGGTGTTCTATTTGAAATAACAAAGTTTCGGTCAAACCGGAAGTGGCATTTTCTTCAAAATATTTTTAAAAAATAGACTTAAATGGATTATAAACGCTTTTAAATTTCAAATCGATATTTTTTTCTGTTCCCCAAAAACTTCCAATGGACCATGAATGTGAAACACCCTGTATATCAAGTAGTGTTTTTTAGGTTGTGATACCACCATTGATTTAAAAGCAATGTACGAGCCCTAACCACATAATGTTCGGACACTTCATAATTTATACAGAAATTTTTTTCGTGAATACTATCTCAAAATTATTAGAAGTTATGAAAAATTCAGCTTATTTTGGCATATACCCCTCGAAGCGATTTTTATTTTTAAAAAGTTTACCTTTTATTTTTAGCTTTTAAAAAAAGGCTAACTTTTTAACTTTTTTTTGTATGAGTAAAAAAAGTTATAAATGGACCCATTAAAAAGAGAATAAAATATTATACAAACCCTGAAAATTTGGTAAAAAATAAATAAGTTATAAAAAAGTATAAGTAATTTAAAAATGCTATTTTTAAAGAGTTTTTGCAATTTTCTTAGGAAACGGGAGATTTTGCAGATATATATATCGCTATAACTTTCTTATTATTTATACAATTTTTACCAAATTTTCAGGGTTTGTATAATATTTTATGTTCTTTTTAATGGGCCCATTTATAACTTTTTTTACTCATGCAAAAAAAAGTTAAAAAGTTAGCCTTTTTTTAAAAGCTAAAAATAAAAGGTAAACTTTTTAAAAATAAAAATGGCTTCGAGGGGTATATGCCAAAATAAGCTAAATTTTTCATAACTTCTAATAATTTTGAGATAGTATTCACGAAAAAAATTTCTGTATAAATTATGAAGTGTCCGAACATTATGTGGTTAGGGCTCGTATAATCATCAAACTAAAAGATCAAGATTTAATATGATAGGTAAATACAAATCTGTTGTTTTATTTTAAAAAAATCAAAAATTAAGGCCAGAAATATATTTTTTTTTACTTAAAAAAAATAAAAATTTGTTATTTTCTTTAAGTATCATTTTTGTATTACGTAAAAACAAAATATTTGAAGAAAAAAAATTATTTATAACAAAATAGAGAATTAAAAATCTGTTTAGGTTAAAATAATAAGAATGGCTGTGTAAAAAATTTAAATGACTTGATTTTGTGAAACGGTGAGACACGGGTACGTTTTTTATCCTTTATTTTTAAAATCTGTGAAAAATTTTCATGGAAGGAAAATTGTGTTGAACGACAAAAACGTTTGAATGATTTTAACTTTGTTTTTATGTGTTTTTTTGCAATTATTTTATAAATTGTGATGATCTTCAACAAACTTCTTCTTTAAATTAACACAAATTTACTTCTTCTTATTCAGTTTCTTGGCCTTAACTTCGCAAATCAGCTGTTAAACAATTGACATTTAGATAACTTTAAAAGAAACTTTAAAAATGAAAATAAATTACCGACTGGAAACTTTCCGATTCCCATCTCTATTAAAAATGTGTTTTAATTTCAATTTTTTTCTTCATTTATAATTTCTCATAATCTCATTTTCGTAGTTTTTTCTCCATTTCAAACCAAACGTGTTGTTCTTAGGTTCGACTGCAGATGGCGGGCATTTCGCCGGAATACCACGCGCACACCCACGCGCATACGCATGCGCACACACACCTACACCTGCATCCGCAGCAGCAGGCGCAAGCGCAGCAGGAAGCTGCAGCTGCCGCAGCTGGATTCCCGCTGCCAGGTAAATGCTCTTTTTTAACCAAAATGCAATGAAAATAGCCGCGCAAGTTGGAAAATACAAGGTATACAATTTGTTGTGTTTTTCTTTTAGCGTCCGGAGGTCCTGGGTATCCTAGACCGGGCATGATGCCAAGCAGGGACGGACCCATGGGGCTCCATCATCCTGACCTTTTGGGTAGGCCCTACGCTGACCAATTGGCGCATCAAGTAAGTAAATGAGGACAAGCTTAAATAACAGCAAACTAAAATAATGACTTGTTAAAATGGCAAGCTAAAATGATGACAAGCTAAAATAATGACTTGTTTATATGCAAATAAATAAATAAATAATGCACAAATAATGACAATAAGCTGAAATAAAGACAGGCTATAATTTCACAAGCTTAAATGACGACAAAATAAAAATAATGACTAAAATTTTATGTACAAGCTGAATTAACGATACGCTAATATTAAGACAAGCTTAAATATGAACAGGGTTGCCACTCATCTGGAAAACCTGGGAATGTCAGGGAATTTTTTTAGAAATGTCAGGGAAATGTCAGGGAATTGGCAAAAAAGTCAGGAAATTCCTAAGTAGGTCAGGGAATTGGTTATTTATAAATAAAACTGGTCAACAAAATTTTCATTCAAAAAAAAATTATGTTAACGAGTGTAATTTAAATTTAATTTATTCAAAATATGGCAGCGCTATATGTCAAACTTATCACAATAACCTTAGAAGTCTATATCACGACTTATCACTATAACCTTCTAAGACTATAACCAACTATTTTTTTGTTTAGGGTGATTAATATTTGTTTATTTTGTAAATGGTAAGCATAATTAATAAACTAATTAATTAATCAGTAAAAGCATAATTAATAAATTAATTAATTAATCAGTAAAAGACTTAACTATAGTTCCTGTTGATAAAAAAACACATAAAAAGTGCGGGCCATTAAAAAAGGATTTTGGCAACGAAGAACACAAATTTATCAAATTTTCTTTAAAAAAAAGAACCAGATGGAAAATATTAATAAATTAATTAGCAATTAACAGCAATTTGTATCCCCGATATTTAGCAGTCAATTCCTATGTAAAATTGTCGTCAAAAGTTATAAAAGTAGGACAGTTTTTAAGATTTATTCAATTTTCCATATAATATAGAATTTACTATAATATAGATATAATATCTTAAAAACTGCTATGACGGTCTTTTCGGATTTAGGGGACAATTTTACATGTCCTGGATACAAATTGCTGTGGACTACAGTTATTAGTGACTGCAGTGAATTAGTCAAAAATAACATATTTCAAAGTGAGAAAGCATGCTTTTTCACTTTGAAATATGTCATTTTTGATTAATTCTTTTTTAAAGACTATGCTTGAAAAAGTTACAGTTTTACAGGATAATAATATTAATAATAATATTGCTTTAGAAAATAACCAGAATAAATCAATTTATTCAATAAAAACTCCTGCAAAAAAATATTTACTGATAAGAACTCAACAACTTGATAAACAAGACCTGCCGCAGACAAAATTTCAGAGGCATTTTTAAAAATTTAATTAATTCTGTTATTTTCAGATTGAACAGAAAATTAATTTAATAAAAACACGATAAACAAAAACCTAAATTAAAAATTATCCCGAAAAAATTAGCTACAGAAAACTTTTTGTTTGTTTTTTTTAATAAGAAGTATTTATTTTTTTAATAAGAAGTATTGATTTTTTGTTAATGTTTTTGAATTTTATAAACTTCAATAAAAGTTTAGTTTTTTAATTAATCGTTATAATTCCCCACCAAGAGAAAAATAAATTCAAGTATTACATAAGCACCAAAGGGGGGAGTCTTTGCTTGAATGCTTTGATTTTTAAAATTAAAAATTACAAAAATACTGCTTACATAATACTTGAATACTTAAAATTTTAAAAACCAACACTCAAAGTCCAGTTGAAAAAATCATTGAGGGTCAGGAAACCAAAAAGAAAACACATTTTATCTGGAAAAAAATCAGGGAAGGTTGGGGAATTCCTGAAAAAGTCAGGGAATTTGTTTTAAACAAATCGGTGGCAACCCTGATGAAGCCAAGCTAAAATAAAGACTTGATAAAATGACTTGTGAAAATAACGACAAGCTTAAATGACAATAAGATGATATGAAGAAAAGCTAAAATAATCACTTGTTAAAATGGCAAGCGAAAATAACGACAAGCTTAAATTACGATAAGTTAAAATAAAGACAATATTAAATAATGACATGTTAAAATGACAAACGACAAATAATTAAATTAAAATAAAGATAAGTTAAAAAAGACAAGCTTAAATGGCGTTAAAATAAAATAATAGGTTGTTAAAATGACAAGCTGAAATAATGATGAGCTAATATTAAGACAAGCCTAAATGACGATAAGCTGATGTGAAGACAAGCTAAAATAATGACTTGTTAAAATGACTAGCGAAAATAACGACAAGCTTAAATGACGATAAGTTAAAATTAAGACAAGAAAAAATGTTGACTTGTTAAAATGACCAGTCACAAACAACAAACTAATTAAATTAAAATAAAGACATATTAAAATGACCACATGCTATTATTGTAATAATAGTTTTTTTAAATGGCATTAAAATAAAATAATGGATTGTTCAAATGACAAGCTGAAATAACGATAAGCTAATATCAAGACAAGCTTAAATGGCGATAAGCTGATATATAGACAAGCTAAAATAATGAATTTTTAAAATGGCAAGCTTAAATGACGATAAGTTAAAATTAAGATAAGATAAAATAATTTCTTGTTAAAATGACCAGCGAGAAACTACAAATTAATTAAATTAAAATAAAATTTTACCTTGTATTTAATACAAGGTAAAATGGCTACAAGCTTAAATAATAGCTTGTTAAACAATAAGACAAATAGACAAGCTTAAATGGCGTCAAGATTACGATATGCTAATATTAAAACAAGCTTAAAGGATGATAAGCTAATATGAAAACAGGCTAATATAAGGACTTTTAAAATGACAAGTGAAAATAACGCCAGATAAATGACGATAAGTTAAAATGAAGACAAGCTAAAATAATGACTTGTTATAATGACCGGCAAACTAATTAAATTAATATAAAGACAAGGTAAAATGACTACAGGCTAAAATTATAGCTTGTTAAAAGGAGAAGATGAAATAACGACAAGCTTAAATGACGATAAGTTAAAATAAAGACAGGATTAAATTGCGACTTTTTAAAATGACAAACGACAAACTAATTTTAAAAAACTATTATAATAATAGTTTTTTTTAAAGAATTGTTTGTTAAAATTACAAGCTGAAATAATGATAAGCTAATATTAAGACAAGCTTAAATGACGATAAGCTGATATGAAGACAAGCTAAAATAATGACTTGTTAAAATACCAAGCGATAATAACGGCAAGCTTAAATGACGATAAGTTAAAATAAAGACAAGTTTAAATGGCGTTAAGATAAAATTATGGATTGTTAAAATGACAAGCTGAAATAACGATGAGCTAATATTAATACAAGCTTAAATGACGATAAGAGAAAATAACGACAAGCTTAAATCACGATAAGTTAAAATAAAGACAAGATAACCTGTTAAAATGACCGGCGACAAACTAATGAAATTAAAACACAAGATAAAATTGTCACATGCTATTATTATAATAGCTTTTTAAATGACGTCGAGGACACGCTGAAATAACGATAATAATAATGACTTGTTAAAATAACAAGCGAAAATAACGACAAGCTTAAATGACGAAAATTAAAAAACATTTTTTTAGGACAAGCTTACATAACGATAAGCTAATATAAAGTAAAGCGTAAATGACGATAAGTTAAAAAATATAGACTACCTAACATAACGACGTGCTTAAATAAAGACAAGCTGAAATACCAAAAAGCTAAAATGACTTGTTAAAATGAAGATAAGCTAAAATGTCACAAACTTGATTGCCGATTAACAAAAACCGACAATCTAAAATTATTTAGTTTTTTATGTATGAAACATTTACTTATGTTGTCATATTTACTGTTACAGTACAGGGTAAAATATTGTTTTTTTAATATATTTTTTTTAAATTAGGCTGCAGCACATGAACAATTACAAAGACAGATGCTTTTGGAGAGAGACAGATTTTCACATCCCTCTATAGTCGCGCAACATGAAGAATACCTCAGGTCAGTCTAACTTTTCTGAATATATTTTTTCATTTATAAACACTTTTAGGGTTTTAATTTTTTTTATCTTTAACCATTTAAGTAACAGTTTTTAAGACTATTTATTTAAGCTGTAAGGTCTAAGGTTAAATATAAAAAAATTGAAACTGTTAAGGAATATGTTGTTTGTAATTTTTGCATGGTTTTTTATAGTTACATGCTTTTCTATGGTTTTGGTGCTTGCTGCTTTAATTTAATATTCATTGGTTAAAAATACTAAACAATTCAAGTTTTAATGATATAAAACAAAAAAATCAAAATCATTATAATAACCAAATAATATTTAGGCTTTTCATATTTATTATAGTTGATTATTAATTTTATGGGTTTTTACACGATTCACTGTTTTGCATTTGTTTTTAGTATACAGGGTGCCTCAAAAAATATTTTTTTTTACAAAAACGGTTTTTGGAACACCCTGTGTTGTTTACCTACACTAATAATATTTTTTGTGACAATAATAACATTCATTTTAACTATGAAACCGAAAAAACAAAATACTAATTTATTTTTTTATATAACAATGTTAAAAAATTTTAAGTAAAATTTGTTTTTTTACTTCTCTTCCACAGAAAAATGGATGTCTACTTTAGACGCCGATAACATCTTGCCATATAGTATTCTAGTATGTAGTCCATTTTATTTTTAATAATAATAATAATAAAAAATTATGACGGGAAAAAATGTGGTGAAATTTGGATAAAAATTTAAAAAATCAAAATTTAGTAAACTACAAGATGTAATAAAGAAAAAATATATTCTTAAAAATTCACTAGAAAAAAGCCATTTTAAAAGATTATTTCAATTATTTAAGGTTAATTTAAAAAACTTAATAATAAACATAATATTAAATAATAATTTTGCCACTTATTTTCCTATAAAAGGTGTATGATTTTGATTTAAAATTATATTATACACAATTAATATTTTTAACCTGTTAATTTTGTTAAAAGTAGTTTTTGCATTTTTCTTACCTATTAATTTCTGTAGTCTTTCTTTTTTATTCGTTTAATGCATCTCAAAAAAATGTTCCTTGCATTAAAATTTTAAGGCCCAAAAAACATTCTTAAAGGCCTGTAGAAATTTTAGTATGTTGAATGGCAATTTTGCTGGACATTTTGTTACAATGTTATTTCCATTTTTAGGCAACAAAGAGAACGTGAACTTAAAGTTCGAGCTTTAGAAGAAGCCGCCAGAGGGTCTAGGCAATAAAAATCGGTAAGTAAAAAAGATTTTACTTATTTTTTTACTAAAGGGATTACCAATAAGCCCATCCGAATTTTAAAGGTTTATAAAACGAAATTGAATTTTTATAATAATTATAATTATAATATAGAATTGAATATTTTCATTGAAAATCTAAGATGTTGTTTTTACAAAAAAAAACAGTACTCTTTGTATTTTTATGAAACATTATTTACATACAAAAAATTAACGATAAATTAAAGAAAAAATTTCGATAAAATTCGAATATTAAGAGCACAGAATTTTAAAAAATCCAAAAAAAATTATTTGTTGGAGTGACCCATAAATAATTTATGCTCTAAATTTTATTATAAGCAATTTTGTACTTATTGATTTGTTTTTTTTTCAGTTCTTCAAAGGTCTGAACTCAAAAACATTGTATAATTAAATAAAAATAAAATATGTAATAATAATTATTTATAATATTTAATGATAATGAAAAAAGTATATCAATACAGAAAAGCGTTGTATTATTATAATTAAAGTATAAATAAATAAAATATTCTTTTATAGATTATAAAATTATCAGAATTACTTAAAATAGTAAATATAGAAATATCGCTAACTTTTAAGTAATAATAATACTTATATACGCGTTTTTCGTTATTGTTAGTGTTTTTTATATACAGGGTGTTCAAAAATCACACAACGTAAAATTCAAGTTGATTTTTCGTGGACGCCCTGTGTAAAGTGCAACACTGGAAACGTAACACAATTTTTTATCAATGTTTTTAGGCATAATTTTTCGAATAAATGATGCGCATTTTTTATTTGTAGATTTTACCGCGCATAAGGTGAATTTTTGTACATAGCATCTATATTTTTAATTAAATTTTCTAGACTCTAACGCGGTGATCTGAATTTCGACTTAATTTTTGAGGTATATACTTAAGGGTTTATACCGCTCTAAAGAGGTATGGCTCCTTAAGGTTTACAGAATTTCCTTGGGAATGAGGTTGTTTTTTGGATTGTCAATTTGTAATTAATTTAATGCTTAATTAAAGTAACGTTGTTTTAAATTTTGTCTTCCCATATACAGTAAATAATCCTTGTTTTTATATTTCTGTACAATTTTCCACATAACTTGTAAAATATGTATATTTTTTTAAACCTGGTGAAATTGTATTATTTTTGACTTAAATTGTGCAGAAATATAAAACAGTGATTTGAAAAGGCAAATTTAGCGTACTTTAATGATATATTTATGTGTTATTTATAATTTTTGTACATTTTTGTTCATATATTTTTTTGAAAATTACAATTAAATAAATAAATGTTTTTACCAAAGAAAATTTCTGATTTTTTTAAAGATTCTAAAAAGTACAGGGAAATAATTATGCTTTATTTAGTATAAAAACTTTCTATTAACACAAATTTCAACAAAAGAAGGTGTTAATATTAAATAAAATATAATTATACAAAAAACCATCAAAAAATGTATTATTTTTTTGTATAATTATTAATTAATTAACTATTAATGAATAATTTATATTATTGGACCAACTTTTACATATACTTTTCGTGGTTGTGTATTGTTTTTTTCTCCATGCTTTTAGAGAAAATAAAAATTTTCAAAATGTATACTATCTGTCTAATAAAATACTATAAATTTTCGAAATTGTTTTATTTTATGCACAACAATCTTAATAAAAGGTAAGAAGAAAGATTTTAAGTGTTGGAGTTTATTGAAAAAATGTTTAAACAAAGTTTTGGACAATTCCCCTAATCTGGTATTTTTGTGCAATCTGGCAACGTTGCCGGGTTGTTCAAAAAATCCCAAATCCAGGGATTTTTTCTAAAAAATCATATTTGAGCTTTGCATCGTTGCTAGAGTGTGTTAAATTTTGAATTGTGATTTTTTAAAAATTCTGTTTATTAAATTATTTGCTCCTGCTCTGATGCAAGGTTGCAGGGTTGTTCAAAACATCCCAGATCAAGGGATTTTTACCAAAAGTTGGCACATTTGGGCTTTGCAACGTTGCCGAATTGTGTAAAATTTACCAGATCCTGTAAATTTTCAAAAATCTTGAAAATACACCTTATTTTTTGTTTGTCCTGAAAACGAAGGGTTCTAAGGGTTAAATTCAGAGTTTTTGAAAGAATATTTTATTAAAAATTTACATAATAATAACAAATGAGGTACATTAAATACAAATTAAAAAACATTGACCTATTTTCACCAAGGGATAAATAAAATGATTAAAAGAACATAAAACAATTAAGATACTTAACATTTTAGTACATCCAATTAACTAAATGGGAAAAAGAAATAAAACAAAATTGGTTTATTGTTTTTAAGTGAAAATAATTATTTACATTCATTATGTATTAAGTACATTTAGTAAGATAACATATTAATAATTAAATGGTAGAAAATATAAATACATATCACGTTATTTTAAAGTAGGTAATTAAGTAAAAATACTATTGGTAATAAATATTGTGAAGATCATTGGGTAACAGTTCAGTGTTTAAAAAAATTTGACTGCTGAAGGCTGGACATTCATATGTTTCGTTTGGAGACGTTTTCTGTAAAAAAGAAAAATGTATGCAAAAAACAAAACTTAATGTACAAGACGTCTTACCGTTGGTTTTTTGTGGGATATACAAAACGTGCAAACTTGTTGCCTATTTTGGTTTATTTCTTCATCTAATTGTAGAGGTTTTGGTATTCTTAAGCAAGGCTGATCTATAGGTCCTAAAATTCAAAAAATGTTCAAAAATATCAAAAAATATTTTTTTTTAAATTTTACCCGCCATAAGTTGTGTCCCTAGATGCGATATATAGCTTGAAGCCAGTCTTAAAGTTTCAATTTTACTTAATTTTCTGTCTTTTGGTTCGGTCGGTATCAAAGTCCTTAATGTAGAAAAAGCCGTGTTCACACTAAAACAGTAATTGATTTTACCCCAGCAAACACAACCGTAAAGGTTCTATATGGCTGATTAAAGGTACAAATGTGGCAAGCTAAAGTTTCTGATATGGGGTGTTCTGATTCTATAGTGGTTATTTAAATATTTTTTAATTACCTACTCTAATTATTATGGTGAATTAAATGTGGTGGGTATATATTTATTAGATAAGGATATTTCATGATAATTATAAATTGTTATCCCTACTGTCACAATACAATTTCTGACGGTAAGAATAAAAATGTTCGGTTATCGTGGAATATCCCACCCAATAAATATAAACAAACCACATTTAATCCACCATAATAAATACTTTACTTATCCATTACATTAATTAATATATTATCGTTAAATTTATTACTAAAACATTCATAAATTTACAAGAAAAAATTCTAAGCAATGTGTTGTAATAAAGAAATGTATTTGTAAAACTTAAAAATTTTATTTTAAAAACTGTTTATTAGGTAATAAATGGAATCCTACATTTAAATAAATAAAAAATCCTTAAACTAAATAGAAAATATTTAAAATTAAAATATATATTTACAAATAAGTTCACTTGATTTTTTAGGTAGATTGTCCTCTAAAACAAAGAAAACCAGTATTTCTTTGCCATTATTAATATCTTTTAATTGCCTCAATTTTGACCTTATTAATTAAACCTTTCTACTAATTCTTTGGCGTTATTTTGTCTGTAATAAGGGTTCTAAAATTTTTAAAATTAAAAATGCACCACTTACTCATTTAAATTTAAGAACCATTAGGTATTATTATTATTTTGTTATGTGTTATAAAACACTATTAAAACTATAGGAATTACACTGGGCGTCATTTTTAAAATATGCTGTTAACCAAAAAATAATTAAAGGTTTTATGTACTGAAAATTGCCATATATGGGTATTTCATGGTAAATTATAGGTAGAAAAATTAGCCTGAGAAGGGCCATTGCAAGACCTTTTATAAAAATTAATATTTTTATTAAAACATTCCTGTAAAGGCCCAGTACAATTGTATTGTATTGTATTTGCGCAAAAAATGCCATTATTAATTAATTAAGCCATGAAACTATGTAATCAGACTTATGTGTTTGCTGGGAATAGAAAACTTTCTAAAATATACTTTAAAAAATCCACTAAAAATTGAAAAAAAACGTATTTATTTATAAAAAAATTAACCATTATTTGAATTTAAAAATCGTAAGATTTTTAAAAACTCAATCGATCTAGAAAGTAAATATTAAAAAAAAATAATACCTATGCGTTCTATCCCTCTCCCTTGCGTTGGCCTGACTACGTTGCTTCACAGGCACATTAAAATCATCCATAGCGGTCACAAAGTTGCTCCTTGCGGCACCCCGTTTTTTCCCCGCACTAATATTGTTGTTATTGTTGCCGTAAGTATCTCCGTTAAATTGTAAAAACTCCATCGCGAACCCGCTGGCAAAGAATTTTATGCGAGTATGTAATACAATAAACACTCTGGTATTGAATTAAGTTCAATTAATATTAATTAAACTGTTTAATCCAGTGCGCGTTGGGTATGAGGGTAGACTGCCGCTTGGCACTTGTTTTGCTACTGTGCACAAGTGTCAAACGCATGGCAGACTAGATGATACAGATTTTAAGATTGTTAAAACAGATGTTGATGCCGCCTACTTTGACTAAAGGATGTCACTTGATTTATTACACTTTCGGTGGATATTTTCAAAAGGAAATAAACCTAAACAAGTGTTTTTTCAACGAGGGATGAAATATTGGGGTCATTTAAAATGTTAGAATATCATAGGGGGTGTTTTATGTGTGAAATGTATTTTTGTAACATAAAATGGTAAAAACGATAAAATTTGTTATGAGATTCTTCAAGTTAAATTAAATAGAACATTATTAATTAAATTTATGAATACATTCATTTATACGGGCGTCTGCTAAAGTCATTTATAATTATTTTTCCATATGAAACTATAAAATATTTTCTCTTTGAAGTTCATTTTTTTAATTTAATGTTGGAAGATTATTTATTTACCTATACCTACAGGGTGATAGCAAAAAGAATTTGGCAGATTACAATTCCTCTTAAAAATGTCTGAGTTAGAAAAAAAAATTACTAATTCTCGTTTTTTACGAAATTTCAAATCTAAAAATTATAAGTAATTTATTTGAACAAACAATGTATATCTAGAGAATCGTTTAAAAAAACCTTAAATTTGACAATATAATTAACAAATTTAACATTAAATGTTTTATTTTTTTTACACAAACCGTCAAAAATACATTTGTTTACCTGCCTTATTTGAATTGTTTCCATGGCAATCGTTTTTTTATGTGTAATATTCGAGCTTATCCGAAACACAGCGTTGCCAAGTTTATTAAACATATACTACTCTTCATAAAATGTATTTTTTTACATAAAACTATGTCAAAAACCATAGATTAGATAAAGTAGAACTCCAAGAACTGTGTAAAAAATCTAAAACCTATATATAGGTATACTTAGGTAATCTATGGTTCTTGACATAGTTTTATGTAAAAAAAATACATTTTATTTTATAAAATA